TGACTTGTAATACCCAATAAAAGAGTAGTTCAGAACACGCTCTGGGCTCACTCACCTCGAGGAAAACCTGCGTGTTTGTCTTCACTCTCGCCTGTCGAGACCCCATGAGTGGCCCACCCTGATGCGGACAGCAAAACCGCAGCAGTTTGTGGTTGGTTAATCAATGCAACTGGTTTGGGGCCATCCAGTTAAGCTTTCTGGATGAGTTTGAGCAGTTTTCCTGGAACACCACAGAAGTTCTTGGCTACTGAATTCTTTGGGGATTCTATTGGATTCCTACAATTTGGAATTTCCTCATTTTGCTGCTTTGGACCTGTGAGATGCTCGCTTACAGACCGACCCCTGTCAAAGAACTTCTGCAAAGCCAGACCTATCCATGCCTGTCCCAGCAGATGGCAGAAAAACTCCAGAAATCAGTCTTGCTGCTGGAGACGTGGGAAACTGGGATGATGATGGTGGTGGTCTCTGCTGACCCTGGTTTTGGGGGAGTATCTTTCAAAAGAGGGCTGTGGTCCATCGATCTTACAGCAGGGTCAACTTGGCTGACCAGAATCCCTGTCCCCTTTGAGTTTGGGGGGGTTGGACTAGAAGACTTCCAAGATCTCTTCCAACCGTATGATTCTGTGTGTGGATGTACTCATGGGTGCATAGCAGGTGACAATCTGAGGAGTCATCAAAGCTATCCTTCAGAAGTTATAACTTCAATTTAAAGAATCATGGGGAAGAGGAGGTATCTGTTACATCTGAATGTATGTCATTTGTGGAATTATAGAATTGACACAAATGGCATCACTTGCAATAAAATCTCAAAGGGACAAACCCTCAATTTAACGGGCATAAGTCCATTAAAAGAAAGCAACATCTGAATGAAAAACATTTCTGTCTGAAATCCAGTAACTCAAGGTTTTACTGTGTGGTTAATTTTGCTATGTGGGCCCAACTATTATGCCATGATTTATAGCTTATCACATTGTGCACGTTCACCAAACTGTGATTTATCCAGTAAGTCATGCTGAAGCAAGTTATGAATTAATATGAAGTGTGAACTGGGCCATTCTCCCTATTCCTCTGCAACTTCTTTTTTTACAATTAATTTCCCATTGTCTCTTAAGTGCAGCAACTTAAAAACCCCTTACAGATTTTTTTCCCCTAAAGAATGCCCATATTTTTGTAAAAGTGTCTTTATTCTGAATCTGTTGATACCTTAACTTTCCATGGATATTCACCCTTTCATTTATATAAAAGATGGTACTCCGAAAATTTAACTGGAATTAGAACACAGGTAGAATTTAACATACGCAGATTGCACAGTGTTTCTTCTTTACAGATAAAAAACCTTATATTTATTGTTGCAGCTGTTCACTTGGGAAATGTTTGAGCAATAAAGCCTCATTTTGTATTTTACCTCCTTTATTTCTTATCACAGCCATCTTCATAGTTAAAAGCAGAGAAGATAATTTGGACCACACTGTCTCTTTACTTTCACGTATTTGTACATAATAAAAAACCCTCGAAACATACTATCTACATTCAAAACTGCTTAATGAAGATGCTTCTTTTTGTTGACTTCTAGAAATCCACACTGCTCATTGATGATTTTGAGCATACTGCAATATCTTTTAAAGTTAAAATTCTAGATAGCAAATCATCATTGCTTCCCAAATATCTTTAAATTCTTCTGCAAGCACTTAAAAAAATGCTTTTTATAAAAAATAAAATGAAGGCCTCTAATACTATTTCTTTGAGTACCGCCAATTATGTGTATTATTTATAGACCCATTAGAAAAATCAATACAGCTTTTGTTTATTGTTGTAGCAGCTTTGGTGATATGACCCCAAATTACAGATGCCTAATTTTTTTAAAAAAATGAATGTAAATTTGTCCAGAAGAATCAACATCTTTCTCTTTTACTCAGGTATTTATTTGTGTGTTCATAATATTTAAACAGATACAACCACCCCACTTTAAGACAACTCAAAATAATTGAGTTCAACTTTAGCTAATGCACAGATTGAAATACACAAAATATTATCTTGATATCTAAAAGGAATAGTTATTTTAGTTGCAAATATTTTTAATAAGAGAATGACTATTCTACCTGGGAGAGTGATATTCTCCTCAAAATGATTCTACTATGGAAATATTTGCCAATTTCTTCTCCTTTGGCAGCCCTTGACTACTTTTCTTCCAGATGGTTTCCTGTGACATCCAAAGATAAAGTAGGAAGGTCACAGGATTCTATAGAAATTGAAGCCACTATCCCTTCCACCTTTCTGCCAGCAATATCCCTCTCTGCTTCAAGGGACTCATGTTAGATCTGGCCTACACGTTTTGGAATTCAGCCACCTCTCCAGACTTTGACCTTATATTCGTACACCAGAAGTACAACATTTTTAAGGAAGTTCTGTCTTATAGTTTATATAATATAGGTCTATGGTTTCAGAAATTCACATTTAAAACCCTAATGCAGGGCTGCAGAAATGGGGTCTGTCTCTAGAAACTGCATCTATCAGCCACAGCCAGCAAGGTCAATGGACAACAATAGCAGAGTTGTCATTTAGGAATCTTTGAGGCATGCAGTTTCCTATCCCTGCAAACACAGTACATTTCATAGTCCAATTCAGTCAAACAATGCTTCTTGAACTCTTGAAATCTCTAACCATGTATAAAATATTTTATACATAACATTCTACAAACTTCCATGGTAGCTCTTATCAGTTTAATTCAGGGGTTCTTAACCTTTTGGTGCCATGGACCCATTGGAGAGTGTGATGAAACCTAGAAACCCTTCTCAGAAAAAAATATACTTAAATGCATAAAATAAAAAACACAGATATAAATTGTATTACAAGGTGAACCAATTATGGTCACATACAGTTCTCAAAATATTAAAAAATAACAAACACATAATATGGTAATTCTTCTTTAATTCTTTAATCCATTAAAATTATAAATCCCTTAGAATCATAGGATTAATGGCTTGTATAGATATTTAGGTACAAAGGAATCTTTGAAATGCAAACTGTGTTGACTGTTATCAGTTACATGCCTATGGGGATAAAGGTACTTGACACATCCAAATGTATTCTGGTTCTACTTTTTTCAGGTACAATAATTTTAGATAGTGAGATGTACTGAAGTTAACATACATTTTGGGAGTTTAGAGGCCATAGGCAGGATAGGAAGAGTATTTACATCTTTGAACTTTGGAGTTGGAGAAGATTCCTGAGAATACTGTGGACAGCCAAGAAAACAAACAAATGGATCAGTGAACCAATCAACCCAGAGTTCTCACTCAAGGCACAAATGACCAGGCTCAAATTATCCTACTTCAGACACATTATGCAAAAGCTCAGCTCTCTGGAGAAGGCTCTCATGCTGGGAAAGAGAAGAAGAACATGACCAGCAACATGGTGGATGGACTCAATTACAGTGGCGATGAGGGCACCATTGGAAGTTGTGAAAGACCAGGTTAGGGATAGATTGTCATAGAAAAACTATCTATGTGGTTGCTAGGAGTTGAAAATGACTTGATGGCACATAATCAATCAGAAGCCATAAATTTCTTCGTTGCCTACATTCATTATGGAATGAAAAGGTGGAATATTTTGGAACATTATGGAATATTTTGGTTAGTGAAAATAAAATTGAAATTATTTTCCCACCCAACTTGACAGGCTCCCTGAAATCTAAGAACCCCTGGTTTAAATAGTGGAAAAAGACACCTGAAATTCAATTATGCAGTGAGACATACAAGAACAATCAGGGCATTTTCCTCTCATCATTCTACCAGCCTTTCTGAACCGGGTAAACTTTTTTTGGAGCAGAACCCAAACAAAAAGGAATCTCTAAATCAAGGACTCTGAGTAGCCTTAGATGTGTCACAGAGAAAATTTGAACCAAATGTCACTGGTAATACTCATCTTCAAGAATGTAACTTTACACAAGTAACCACAACCAATTTATAGTCAACTTCAGCACGTCAACACTTAATTATATTATGTCAGCTGCGTATTTTACAAAGTAGAGCTTAAGCTCTGTTGGTCTTGAATTATAGCTGTCACTTTCATTGATAGTGATCCCTTCCCTTCACACTATGTGTAATTTCTGAATAAAGAATTAGGATAGAATAAAGATGCTTAGGGACAATACAATTTGAAGTTACAGCCTCTCCAGTAACATTAATGTTTAGCTACAGATATTTTACAGACAAATATTAGTAATTCTATAAAAATGCTAGTGCGTTCCCCCCATCCCATCCTTTTAGAACAACAATATCAGAAACTGGCAAAACTGAGAGGGCTCTTTGGGATCTGTCACTGCATATAATCTTGTCATGGCAATTTTGATTGTGTTTGGCAAAACAAGCACAGAGCAGCTATAATTTTTCAGCACAGATGGCATCATGTCTGAGCATTCACTTGTTTTCATTTATATGCTCCAACATTATAAATCTTCCATATTTATTACATTCTTTTTAAAAAGAATCACTAATGCATCAAACCAGGCACCTTAAAAAAACCTGAAGATTTGCTTTCATCAGTCATGTCTGTACACCCTTAGAAAATAGCATGATGCACATGTAATTTTTTCTAGTCTATTTCAGTTTCAGCAGCCCCACCCCACCCCAAAAGAGGCTAGGAAAGGGTTATAGCTGCAGAAAAGAAATGGTGACCAACTAAAATGTGATAAAACTGAGAGCAAGCTTTTGAGTTCTCCAGAAAGCCTATAAAGCTAAACGTTAAACAGATTAGAGTTGGGGGAAATATTAGAAATTATGGACTTGCATCCCAACTGTGCAAATTACAGTCATTTTTATACTGGAATGTAGGATAAACAGGAATAATTTTATAAGAGCAAGACCCATTTTTAAGATCCATCTAATGTTACTGGGGGAAAAAAGGGAGTGGAAATGTTTCTCCATTTCAAGGCCCCTACAATCTGTTGGTCAAACCTTAAAGAAACATACATCTTTTGGGAAGCAGTGACCAAAAGCTAGAAGTTAAGCTTTAGGTAAGGAGGTAACCGGAATCAAACCACAGCAGAATCAACCAGCAATTTGGGGACATTATGGTACTGATTGAAATTCTCAGGAATATCCCTATATTTCCAAAGCAGTACTTAATGATATTTCTTCATGGGATTAATACCAACTTAGTGGTGCCACTTTGTCAACTTTCAAAGCAGCCCCTTAGGACGGTGAAAACAACTCCTGGAGATGCTTTTATCATCACATAACCAGCCTAGCCAGGTTCTGTTCGCGTCTTTACACCCCGCTTTCTAACTAACTTAGACAACACAATATAATAAAACCAAGAGGTTTTTTTAGTGTCATCCAAATATTATTTCACATTGCAGATGTGCTACAGCCAGTTTTCTAGGATCAGATAATTTTTTCTTTGAAGATACTGCAGTGATTGGTTTTGGTACCATTTACTACATCAGATCAGAAGCTACGGTCCCTTCCAGTGAACCTGACTAACAGCTTAAAAATCATGACAATTAGAACGACCCTTTATTAAATACACACACAAACCACAAGGTGAAACCCCAAATGTTCAATATGAAATGTCAATTCTATAAATCCTAATAAAATTACAGAAGAATGATCAAACTATAGACACTGCACAACTTAAAGGAACATGGCCCTGGATGTACCTGGGTGGGAAGCATATGGAAACTGCTTTAATTCTTGGGAGAAAGAGTGACTTGTACTTATAAACAAATAATGAGAATAACTACATTTAGGCCCATACACAAATTACAACATTTCTAGTTTCGAGCTTTTGGGTGGTTTTTGTTTTTTTTTAAACATCACCGTCACATACCATTTTTAACCATTTTTCCCAATAATCCATCTTCTAACCAGCTTTTATTGTGATTAGTTTATTTATATGAATACAGCCCTTCCTTCTTTTGGATTGGACCACTATAAATTTAGACTCCTTTCCTGACTCCAACTGTATCTGGTGTGAATTTGAATCTACACAGAATGCTTACAGGAAAAAAAAGAGCACTGCAACTTTTAAAAAATGCCTAAGGAAGAAGAGAAGCAGACATTATTAGCCCATTTAAGCCTTCTATGGATTCACATTTAATACTTAGTTTATATTTTCACTGCAGGCCGGTTGAAACGGAAGTGCCTAGCAATGTAGGCTGTAATGAAAAGTGTAAAACATACCCTGACCTTTTAAAAGAGTATACACCCATTAAAAACCTCCCTACTAATGGAAGTGACTACAGTATCCAGGGACTGATCGAAATTCAATACACTACTTGCATCTAACTCCAAGTGGCCTTTTAAGTCTTGCTTTCTAAAATGTAGCAAAACACTGCTTGCTACTGAAAAATCTATCATTTTTTTGGCACAAACATACCTGTTGGAACACATGGATCCCTTTGTAAATTAGATATCATCAGTGCAATTTCAGGAGGGCATGTTTATGCCTAACACTTCCCCAGAGAGTTTCCACACTTTTTTAATGCTTGAAGTCAAATGAGTTAGTAGGTAAACAATATTCCTGTTGACTATTTACCTTTTTTTAATGCATAGCAAAAAGTTGGAACAGATTATCTTCATCCATCTCCCAGATTCTACATTTCTATAAATTTTAGGTATCTGGAAGTTCACATGAGAATATCTTCTTCAACTTCTCCAGTAAAAGTTTGCCTCCTCTTCTTTCTTTCTCCTTCTCCTTGTTGTTGTTGTTCAGTCATTAAGTCGTGTCTGACTCTTTGTGACCCCATGAACCATATTGCGCCAGGCCTTCCTGTCCTTCACTGCCTCCCTGAGTTTGCTCAGTTTCATGCTCATTCTCCTTGACAATGTACTAAATTAAAAATGCTGATAATATTCTTCTGACTTGTCTACTTGGACTGCAAGGAATCTAAGCAAGCTCCTAGGAATCAGAACTATTATCTGATTCCAGTATGCCAGATTAGTTTGAAAATAAAGCCATGATTGAAATTTTAAGGAACCTCAAATTTCCTCCAATTATAAATCACATAATGAATAATTCTTTTTGAATTTCACAGATTGTAATCTAAGATATTTCAGAGATGGAAATTCTAGATAAATAACATTAGAGAATGAATGTAATACCTTGATAGGATATGACTGCACACATACAATTCAGAATGACACACAATTTTCCAGCCAGAAAATTTAAAGAACAGCCAGGCAAATCTGCTCTCAAACACCAAGCCAGGCCAAATAGCTAACACGTCTTTGATTTCTGAACGAGTTGATCAAGTTCACATTTTATAAATAATAATCTGAAGCAGCATTTCTGTTTTAAGTCTAACACGTGATCAACACATTTTATTGAAAAGCCTCCCCTGAGTTGAGTTCAACTTCCAGTGATGTCACGTCATGTCCATGCAGTCTTCTTAGCAGTATTGCAAACATGGTTTGCCAATGCCTTCTTCTGGAATGATTTTTAAACATCCCATTCAACCGCTGAGTCCCAAGATACCTTGATAGTCTCCAGTCCCAATGATGATACTGGCTAGGCCTGGCCCTGCATGGTTTCCAAACCCACCCAAGATCGGTCAGGTATTGCTATCTAGAATGCTTTGCACAAAGTTCAACTACACTAACAGAAGAACTAAGATTAAGAACTAAGAAAATTCAAAAACATGAAAGAAATAAAAAGGACTCACAATACCAGCAGCCCTATACATTTCAGCTTCTCCACAGGCTTCTTCAATGATCTGAGCCAACGGCAACGTACTGCATGGTGTTCCTGAAAAGATGAAGATGCCACTCCAAATATGCACAAATATGCACACTACTAACCTTTGACACACTCAAAGTTTCAGTAAAACTATTCAATAAAGAAGCATCCTCTTGTATACCACTAGTCTGCTGATGATCTTCCTCTTGCATTAAAGAACTATAACTGAAAAACTGAATAAATTTGAATGATAGCACTATCACATATTATGTAGTTCTCCTTTGGAAGTAAATGTAAAGCACTGGCCACCTTATTTATGAATTTCCTTTCCTTCAAGAGTAGACCATATAACCAGATACAGCTTTGGGAATAAGTTTTACACAGACTTGTTCTGTAAATGCAGAGGAAGATGTTGTAGCAATTGACGCAAATCAACATGAACGTCATATTCCAACATAATGCAAGGAGCACTCAGTGGTGTCCTCCACACGTTGCAGACAGAAAGTCCCCAGTTTGAACTCCAGGTAGGCTGGGAGAGATTTTAGACATAAATTTACTGGAGATTTGTTTTATATCCATCAAGGTTGAGAAACACTGGTCTACTAAGTAGTGGTAAAATTATCTTCTACCTTCAGATCGCTCCTGACTTCTTGAAGCCCAGAAATCCCTCAGTGTAGAAGTGTCCTCAACCCTCCTCAACATCTCCTCTTTTCCTATTTCTTTGAAAGACAAACTAAAAACGGGAA